TTATTTCTGAAGCATCTTTCTTTTTGCTGTGCGCCGATCTGCGGCTGCAGCAGGAATGAAGTCCAGATGTCTGATCATTTATAAAAGTTCTTCATCTTCAGAAGGACGGCTTAGGGGTCAGAGGTTAAGGTCAAGGTCTCAGAGATCCCGCCGTAAATCCTGCAGCGCATTCAGATCCTCTTCATCTGCTGCTGGGTAACGGCCCTGTTCGTGTCTGCATGGCGATGGGGGTCATGTGACTTAGCAGGTAGATGATGTTGGACAAAAGCAGAAATCATTTATTCATGGTGCCATAATATTAGTGAATATCAGGATTAAGAATAAGTCAGGAAAGATTTCTGTGAAAAGAAATTGGCAGCAACTGAGAGAATATTTCTATCATGATTAGCGACGATCCAATCAGGATTTTCTGATTCCCATCACCGATCAATGCTGATCACTGATCAGCATTGATCACTGATCAGCATTGGCTGTTACTTTTTTGCTTCAGGTATAAATGCTATTAAGTGATTTGAAAAATGGAAAATTGATCTGCTAATAAATTCACTTAATTTAGACATAAAACATGCAAAATGTTACTCCTCTCGAGTTCAATTAAACTTAACGCAGTTATTGATTTTCTACAGCCATTTATTTCAGACACATTCTTCGAGGTCCTCAAAAATGCCGTCAGAACTACAAAAAAGGTAACACAACCTAAATCAGTTCACAACAAATGGCACAATATAACAAAAGATCCATACAACAAACTGTACCTCATTATCTGCATCAACTCCAGAGGAATAAAGTCTAATCTTCTCAGTCTCTCCAGCCTGCATGACCCACATGGCTCCAAATGCGCCAGCCAAAGCTCCCCGGGCAACACATGCCGCGCGGAACAAAACAAAAGTTCCCCCTCTACATTCCAATGTACACCCAACATAAAACCAATAAAATTACTACTGCCACCTTAAACATAAAAAACAAAATAAAAAACAAGATGCAGTTGTCCTGACAGCAGCCACACAAAATACTTGCAGACACAAAACAGCAGCTACTCAGTGAAAAGGACTGAAAAACCTGCAACCAGTAAAATAATATTTAACAGTAAGGCTCTCACATAAATCATGAGTCACATAAATCTCACAGCACAGATATCAAATAATGTCGAGAACAAAAGGAAACATTTATCAAAAGCATCAAGATGAACAATCATGAATTAAAACGTCCTGACTTCAGCTAGCTGATCAATGCTCTGATTGGCTAGCTGATCAATGCTCTGATTGGTTAGCTGATCAATGCTCTGATTGGCTAGCAAATAAATGCTCTGATTGTTAGCTTATCAATGCTCTGATTGGCTAGCTGATTAAGCTCTGATTGGCTAGCTGATTAAGCTCTGATTGGCTAGCTGATCAATGCTCTGATTGGTTAGCTGATCAATGCTCTGATTGGCTAGCTGATTAAGCTCTGATTGGCTAGCTTATCAATGCTCTGATTGGCTAGCTGATCAATGCTCTGATTGGTTAGCTGATCAATGCTCTGATTGGCTAGCTGATTAAGCTCTGATTGGTTAGCTGATTAAGCTCTGATTGGCTAGCTGATCAATGCTCTGATTGGTTAGCTGATCATGCTCTGATTGGCTAGCTGATTAAGCTCTGATTGGCTAGCTGATCAATGCTCTGATTGGCTAGCTGATAAATGCTCTGATTGGCTATCTGATCAATGCTCTGATTGGCTAGCTGATTAAGCTCTGATTGGCTAGCTGATTAAGCTCTGATTGGCTAGCTGATTAAGCTCTGATTGGCTAGCTGATTAAGCTCTGATTGGCTAGCTGATTAATGCTCTGATTGGCTAGCTGATTAAGCTCTGATTGGCTAGCTGATTAAGCTCTGATTGGCTAGCTGATTAAGCTCTGATTGGCTAGCTGATTAAGCTCTGATTGGCTAGCTGATTAAGCTCTGATTGGCTAGCTGATCAATGCTCTGATTGGCTATCTGATCAATGCTCTGATTGGTTAGCTGATTAAGCTCTGATTGGCTAGCTGATTAAGCTCTGATTGGTTAGCTGATTAAGCTCTGATTGGCTAGCTGATCAATGCTCTGATTGGTTAGCTGATCAATGCTCTGATTGGCTAGCTGATTAAGCTCTGATTGGCTAGCTGATCAATGCTCTGATTGGTTAGCTGATCAATGCTCTGATTGGCTAGCTGATTAAGCTCTGATTGGCTAGCTGATCAATGCTCTGATTGGCTAGCTGATCAATGCTCTGATTGGCTAGCTGATTAAGCTCTGATTGGCTAGCTGATTAAGCTCTGATTGGCTAGCTGATTAAGCTCTGATTGGCTAGCTGATCAATGCTCTGATTGGCTAGCTGATCAATGCTCTGATTGGCTAGCTGATTAAGCTCTGATTGGCTAGCTGATTAAGCTCTGATTGGCTAGCTGATTAAGCTCTGATTGGCTAGCTGATTAATGCTCTGATTGGTTAGCTGATCAAAGCTCTGATTGGCTAGCTGATTAAGCTCTGATTGGCTAGCTGATTAAGCTCTGATTGGTTAGCTGATCAATGCTCTGATTGGTTAGCTGATCAATGCTCTGATTGGCTAGCTGATTAAGCTCTGATTGGCTAGCTGATTAAGCTCTGATTGGCTAGCTTATCAATGCTCTGATTGGCTAGCTGATCAATGCTCTGATTGGTTAGCTGATCAATGCTCTGATTGGCTAGCTGATTAAGCTCTGATTGGTTAGCTGATTAAGCTCTGATTGTCTAGCTGATCAATGCTCTGATTGGTTAGCTGATCAATGCTCTGATTGGCTAGCTGATTAAGCTCTGATTGGCTAGCTGATCAATGCTCTGATTGGCTAGCTGATAAATGCTCTGATTGGCTATCTGATCAATGCTCTGATTGGCTAGCTGATTAAGCTCTGATTGGCTAGCTGATTAAGCTATGATTGGCTAGCTGATCAATGCTCTGATTGGCTATCTGATTAAGCTCTGATTGGCTAGCTGATTAAGCTCTGATTGGTTAGCTGATTAAGCTCTGATTGGCTAGCTGATTAATGCTCTGATTGGTTAGCTGATCAATGCTCTGATTGGCTAGCTGATTAAGCTCTGATTGGCTAGCTGATTAATGCTCTGATTGGTTAGCTGATCAATGCTCTGATTGGCTAGCTGATTAAGCTCTGATTGGCTAGCTGATCAATGCTCTGATTGGCTAGCTGATCAATGCTCTGATTGGCTAGCTGATTAAGCTCTGATTGGCTAGCTGATTAAGCTCTGATTGGCTAGCTGATTAAGCTCTGATTGGCTAGCTGATTAAGCTCTGATTGGCTAGCTGATTAATGCTCTGATTGGTTAGCTGATCAAAGCTCTGATTGGCTAGCTGATTAAGCTCTGATTGGCTAGCTGATTAAGCTCTGATTGGTTAGCTGATCAATGCTCTGATTGGTTAGCTGATCAATGCTCTGATTGGCTAGCTGATTAAGCTCTGATTGGCTAGCTGATTAAGCTCTGATTGGCTAGCTGATTAAGCTCTGATTGGCTAGCTGATTAAGCTCTGATTGGCTAGCTGATTAAGCTCTGATTGGCTAGCTGATTAAGCTCTGATTGGCTAGCTGATTAAGCTCTGATTGGCTAGCTGATTAAGCTCTGATTGGTTTGATCAATGGTCTGATTGGCTAGCTGATTAAGCTCTGATTGGCTAGCTGATTAAGCTCTGATTGGCTAGCTGATTAAGCTCTGATTGGTTAGCTGATCAATGGTCTGATTGGCTAGCTGATTAAGCTCTGATTGGCTAGCTGATTAAGCTCTGATTGGTTAGCTGATCAATGCTCTGATTGGCTAGCTGATTAAGCTCTGATTGGCTAGCTGATTAAGCTCTGATTGGCTAGCTGATTAAGCTCTGATTGGCTAGCAGATCAATGCTCTGATTGGTTGCTTCTGACTGAGCAGTAGTTCTGCAGACACAGGGAGGAGGAGATGGATTCGTTTCAGATGACGTGTCTCATGTATGTTCACTGGAGATGGGCAGCAGCACCCGACCCACTAGGGACAAGGTGGAAAGAAGAGGGACGGGTGGATCTGTCTCGTGTTGGGACGCAGCGCAAGTGTCAAATCTTTTAAGTTCCTGCTGCAGCTCTCGGTGTGACAGCTCACCGTCTGCAGGTTCAGCGCTGCTGTCTGTGAAGTATTCCCAGCAGGTCCGGCAGCGGGAGCAGAACCAGCGTCTCCCTCCGCAGCTCCAAGACTTGAATCACCGTTGGGTGACTTGTTTAGCTTTGTGACCGTGATGCTAATCCGGGTCAATGTTGGTAGTTTTAAGCAGCTGTTCCTGCTGTCTGGTTGCTTTTTTCCTGCATTGAGCCTCGATGGAGCCAAACTCCGTCAAGTTTTTTAAGCGTGGCATTAGATCGGTTGTGTTGACGCTTTGTGACCTGCTTCACCCCAAGGTCATTTTCCGCCGCAACTCGCAAACGTCCCCATTCACTCTGAGTGTTGAAGTGCTGCATGGCATCGCTGAGGATTTGCTGCTGCGCAGCGAGAAGCAAAGAGAGCAGCTGCACACGCAGGCTGCCAAGTGAGATACAGCTGATCGGTTTGGTGATCGGCAACAACAGACCCTGATCACCGATCAAACCCTTTTTCACCGAAATTGGCCGATTATGATCGGTGGCCGATCGATCGGCACAGTTCTATTGCAAATTGATAAAAAGTTTGAATCTACTGCGTGACAAAAACCTGCCCTACAACTTTATTTTTCTGTTATGTTGCATTAAAAATGCTAATCATTTATCCCTCTGTGGTTCGCATGATGATGCAAGTTGGAAAAAAATGTTTGGGATGTTTTGACATAAACCAGGTAAACATAATGAAGAGAAATCGTCTGCCATGTTTTTGCTTTGATTAGGCCGTGGGCCGATCCTAACCTGATGTAAGGAAGTATAAAGAAATGTGGTCAAGTTGCTGTTGCCGCTTCAGCCTCACTGAAAGTCGCCTTGTTGACGTGTTTGTCTTTCCTTCCAGAGATGCAGGCCTTCCTGCCGCTGGGCTGCTGCGTCATCGCGCTCACGCAGTGCTGCCTTGGCTCCGCCCACATGATCCCTGACGACAGGCTGTCCACCAATCGGGTCGTTGCGTCCAACGCTCTGTCTCACAGCCTGCAGGTCGACCCGCCTCCTGTTGTTATTGTGGGTAAATATGTTTGCATCTTCATGTAGAGTCGGAGCGTCTGCGTGGCGACAAGCATCTTATCCCTCGTGACGATATTTCATAATAAAATCCAAAGTCATTCATGATAATATGAACCAGAGGCGATAAAACTGCGACGTGTTTAAGCTGCTTCTTCTGTTTCAGAATTGAACAAATCCACCAGGAAGAAGGAAAAAGGAAGGAAGCAGAAAAAGGTTGGAACACTGCAAAAACAGAGTTTAGAGAAAATATGGAAATACACTTGAAATAAAATTAAAGCAGCTTATCAGAGCCTGTTTTCAGTAAATAATTACCGAATATTGATAATAAGGCACTGGCAGATTATTTCACTTCAAACCTTTTTCCATTTTTATCAGAGAAATAATCTGTCAGAGGAATTAATAACTTAAATTTAACAAGCTCCAATATCTTTCTGAAAAGTTAGTTTTGCATTATTTTAGTAACCTAAAATATTTTCACTGGATCATAAGTAAGATTTAATTATTTGCAGTTTTAAATTTTCTCTGTTTTGTCTGATTGTTTGTCTGATATATATTTTCTTTTCTTTTTTTGCTGGTTTTATTTCTAATATCGCCTCATTGAGCTGCTCTGTTCTGTCTGCTGAATTTGTGAAATGATCTTCAGTCTGTGGCGTTAAACTTTGTGATGGACGTCAGATTAAATCTGAGCTCTGCTCTTGTTTTCCTGTTTCTGTCAGAATAAGTTTGCGAGGAAGCGGCCGCCTCCTCCGCCGGACTGCGTCCCGCTCTGGGGAAGCTGCAAAGCTCCCGGCAACGTTTGCTGCGACTTCTGCGCGTTCTGCCAGTGCCGGCTGTTTAAGACGGTGTGTTTGTGCCGGATGGGGAACCCGCGCTGCTGAGCGGCTGCCGCTGCTTCAGGAAACCTCCTGCAGCGACTCGGTTTGTAACTTTGCCTAAAGTGAAGCACTTTATGACGAGGTCGGAGCCGCGCCGAGCGAACGCAGCAGGCTTTTCGCACTGATTCCCGTCTGGATGGTACTTTAGCTATCAACATGTTTATGGCACACGCAACAATAAAAAACCTTCGTGGCCAATCCAGTCTGTTTCTGTTTTATGAATTATTCCTGCATGGAACTGAGTGAACAGGAAGGTTGATCTAATTCTGTGGTTTGTTATCATGACCTGCCAAAATAATTCAGAGATTTATAAGTAGTGAACGATGGAACTGCAGGAAACTACCAGAACATCCTGAAGGCTGTTTGGAGCGGCCTAGTCAAAGTGCAGACCTGAAACTGGTTAATGTTTTGAAGGAAAACTGTCCAGTGTGTCTCAGTCACCCAAAATCTGCAGCGCAGCAGCACAACCCACATTTCACTGGCCTGATGACCTTTGACCCATAACTTTGTCTCTCATTACCTCACTTCCTGTCTGTGCGCGCTGACAGGAAATGGAGTTTAGCTAAACTTCCTCCAGCGTTACTACAAAAATTAAAACATTTTGGTAATACATTTTTTATTACATTTTTATTATTAAAAATCCTATCAAGTGTTTTTGGTCGAGTTTCAAGTGCAAATTTCTTCGACTAATTGATAGAAAATGTTTCCTCAAGAAATGTGAATTTGTTTCAAGTCAGTATTTCTTTAGTTCCCCTGTCAGATTATTTCATTCATAATAAAACATTTTTTCCAACATAAATAGTAATAATAATAAAAGTGAATAATTAAAGAGGTTCCGCTGGAACGCGGAGAGACGTTTGATGAAGGAACGCTCTGACCCGTCGGACCCGGACCTGGCTGCCAGTTCCTGCTGGTTCCCAGTCCTGCCGTGGTTCTGGCCGGCTCGGGTCAGCCTGGTGGGCTCGATGGCCGTCGGGTCTGTTCAGCTGATCCGAACGCAGAAAACAGAAACAAAAACACGTTTTCAAATATTGTTCAAGCTTCACTTGATGTGACCTTAAATCCTTTTTTAAGTCCATCAGGATCATCTGAGGAATCCGTTTCCTTTAGTAAAATGTCCTGTGAAACTTTATGACAAATGTTCTTCAAATAGCAAATGCACATTGAATTATGTTAATATGTTCATGAATACATCACTGTAAATGTGTGTTCATCAATAAAAGTGATTTATTAGAATCAGCTGTATCAAATGTAATTATTCTGCCACAAAACTATTAATCACATTGAAAAGTTTCAAACGTTGTCTTTAGTTTTGTTATTATTGCTAAATATAATATACTCAGACTCAATCTGAGAATGTCACTGATACTGAGATTGTGTCATTAACTCACTGGAATAGAAAAGCACTTTACAAAGTTCGGCCCGTTTACTTGCATCATCTTGCTGGCAGAGCCTCTTCCAATATGGCGGACGCTATAGCGCATCGCAACAACGATAACTTCCGGTTCAAAAGCACCGTCGTCCAATCAGCGATCTCCAACTGGGACAGTGGAGAGTCTATGTAGCGTCCAGTCCAGTAGATGGCGGTAATGCGCATCAATAGCTGCTTGACAACCGCCGTAAAAATACGACAAAGTCTTTCCGTTTTTCTGATGTTGTGTTTTTCAATGTGTTGCACCTCAGGGCCACCGTAGTTTGTGGTTTTTTTTGCATCATTTTGTTCCAAAGTTGGCTGTGGATTCATGTTGGATGGAAACGCTGACTCCAGTATAATATCAATAATTGTACTGGTTTGATCGTCACTGAAGTGAAACCTGGAGTGAAAACTAAACCGATTTAAAAACCTGGAGAAGAAGAAAAATTCATCCAGAAACTTCCAGATCAGTTTAGGACCCAAATTAAACACAAAGCAGCAATTACTGTTGGTTCTTCTGTCTAATAGCAACATTTCAAAATATCAGAACCATCGTTCATTTGATGCGATGACTGGAGTAAAACGAAGTGGACGATTCAGGAGAGCTGGAGAAGCTGAAACTTTTCCAGAAGCTCAAAGCTTTAGTTTCACGGCTGTAAATCAGGAAACACGGCGCTTTGTGTCAGAGCCTCGGATTTACGGTTCTGAATCTCAAACCTGGTTTCCTCCGACTCAGTAAACCCGCTTTACGAGACCCAGTTTGACCTTTCACCGTATTAAAAAGTCATTTTCATTTTATTTATCCAGCAGGCTGAAGTTTTAATGGCAGGAGGAGAAGCACAGAGTTCAGCTTCACTTCCAAAGTCTTCGCTTCATTTTGACCCACAAACAGAATTATTTCATCCATTTGGTTTTTATTCTTTTATGACCTCAGTGAAGAGTTCACTGGAGATTATTATTATTTTCAAATAATTAGGAATAATGAGGCATTAATCAGAGCACGAAAAACTCAATGATAAAACCTCCTGGAGAAAGTCGAGCTTTCAGACTTTTCTTACAACTGTTATGAATTTAGTCTAAGACTTTTATCACAACACAAAGGAGCAAAACAAAGTGATTTATTTCAGAGGACCGAAAACTGTAGTTTCTCACAATCAACCCAATTTAAACTTACAATCAACGCAGAACGCTAGCTCGTTAGTTAGCTCGTTAGTTAGCTCGTTAGCTAGCTTGTTAGTTAGCTCGTTAGTTAGCTCGTTAGTTAGATCGTTAGCTAGCTCGTTAATTAGCTCGTTAGCTAGCTCGTTAGTTAGCTCGTTAGTTAGCTCGTTAGTTAGATCGTTAGATAGCTCGTTAATTAGCTCGTTAGCTAGCTCGTTAGTTAGCTCGTTAGCTAGCTCGTTAGCATGTATTAGCAGCTTGTGAGCCTACAGAAGATTTGTGCTAGCGACTTAAACATTTACCTGACAGAAATAAAACCCGGGTTGTTTCTGCTTTTAAGGATTCTTAAATAAATGAGTTTTTGTGGGACGACATCTCGAGGACATTCAGGTGAAAACAGAAAGTGGATTCTCCACTGGCTTTTTCCTGTGGTTGTGTCCCTTAGGGTTAGGGCTAGGGGTCAGGTTAGGGGTCAGGGTTTGCTGTGATCCCAGTGGGAATCACAGCAAACATTGTGTTGGAAGTCAGGGAAATGCCTTAAACAAAAACAAACAAACAATGAAAAGTTTGTTGGCCCCGCCCTCACAGCGACTACAGAAGAAAACCATCATAACTGGGCGGACTAACAAAAGGAAAACCAAACCCTAAAAGACAGCAGGGGGCAGCGATGTCTTTTAGCAGCTATGACCCAACAACGTGTTGCCCAACCACACCTGAATCAACCAGGAAGTCAACACCTGGCCACCATCCTCCAGCTTCCTCTTCATGGAGCCTCAGGCTGCGGGGAGAGCCCCCCTACTGGTGCCGCCTGTTACAGTTGTTACTTCATGGAGTTAATCTGAAAATGTTTCTGTAAAACTTTCCAGAAATGGCTGAACTTTGTCCATATGAGCGGTGGCTCCGATTCTCCTCCGTCTCTAAAATCCAATTTGCTGGCTTGTTATTGTGAGATCATCAGATATGAAGGAAAGCCGGGAATTTCCACGTCTCATCGCTGCGAGAGCCGAGATGATCTGAAGCTCCAGCAGCAAAAGGCTCAGAAATAATCTGCAGGCTCAAGTTTCAGACATCAGGATAAACACAGAGTCCAGTGGCTTTCTGTGTCCAACCAGAATGACCTCTGACCTCCCAGAAACAACGATCCCTTTAGCTTTATGATGCTAATGTCTCTGCTAGGTTTTATTTGGATTTTCAGAAAGTAAAACCCGTTTCAGTGCAACAGCGTCAGGCTGGAGCTGTGAAGAAAAATCAGATTGACAAGAATCGACTTTCAGTTTGTGGACGGCTGAAACGGATTATTAATAATAAATAACACATGAAGTAAAAACAGGAATCACAAACTGAGCATCAGGAATGAGGAAACTAAACGCCAAACGGAACGACGGGCCGTCGCTTCCAGATTCAGATCAGGTGAAGTTTTATGTTTTTGTTAAATAATTTTTCTGTTTTCTTTTAGCTGAACTGGAGCAGCGGTTTTGGGTTTTCATGTTTTCTTTGCGCTCCGCTCTCAGCTGCACAAATTGCTCATTTCCTCCCGACTTTGAAAGCAGATCAGTTTCACATTGTTCACATTTTTCATCTTTTAAGATCCATTTAGACAATTTAACACATTTGAAGCAAAGCTTTAACTTTTGGAGCGAAAACATGGTTTAGTAATAAAAAGTCTGACTTTTGCAGATTATTTATTTTCATAATTTTATGTAAACATCAACAAAGTAAATAAAAACAACCCCCAGCACTGCAGGGACACATGCACAAAATTCAACGTAATTTCGGTCCAATGTAGTCGAAACTGTCAGAAACCAAGTGAGTGAAATATTGAATGTAAAAAATATAAAAAATAAAGATTACAGTCTGTAAGAAAGACTGCAGCAGGTCCCAGAGCCTCCAGAATTTGTCCGACTGTTGACAGAGATTTGTGCTGCTGGTTGCTAGGTACTGCTAGCTGCTGCTAACTCCTGCTAATTGCTAGCTGCTAGGTATTGCTAGCTGCTGCCAGTTGCTAGATGCTGCCAGTTGCTAGCTACTGCTAGCTGCTGCCAACTGCTGCTAATTGCTAGCTGCTAGGTACTGCTAGCTGCTGCTAACTCCTGCTAATTGCTAGCTGCTAGGTACTGCTAGCTGCTGCTAGTTGCTAGATGCTGCTAGTTCATAGGTAGTGCTAGCTGCTGCTAGTTGCCGGCTGCTGCCAGTTGCTAGGTACTGCTAGCTGCTGCTAAATGCTGCTAATTGCTAGCTGCTGCTGCTAGCTGCTCCAGCAACAGACACCAAAGTGAAAAACTCTATTGCTCACATGTGAAGGTTTCTCCTGTATCGGCTAATAAATGAAAATACATTTTTCAGGTTGTGCAAAGGAAGGCAGGTGTTTCTCCCTTCACCGTCTGCGTTTGGCTGAGCAGACATGATTTGGTTTACAGTTTGGTGTCAATGAAACCAAACTGTTTCATTTACACTAAATCTGGTTTCTCAAATGTGCATTTCATACTGAACTGTGACATCATTGTATAATTTTTTTGGTTTTATCTTTATACATTTTTCTGTTTTTCACTTAGTTTTAGGTTCTTCATCATTTAAATTTTATCTGTTACTAACTTAGTTTGTTGAATCAAATGTTAAAGTTGTTTCTA